ATTAAAAATGTTTTTTTAAAAGTTAATCGAAGATTGAAACACGCGATTGATTTGATTGGTCACTTTACCGTCTACTTTTGTTTAATAATGTTCGTTATTTAAATACGACAGAAAATAAAATCACAGAGAAATGAATTTAGAATTAATTTTATTGATTTTCAAATGAATTTAGAATTCTATGTTTTCTGTAGAAAACGTGTTTCATGATAGTAATAAAGTATTTAATTAAAATATTTCAACGGAATTATTCTTATAAGATTCTCTTTTTAACGATTTCAACGATCTTCATGATATACTATACATGCATCTATGTATTACTTGGTGATTATACAAGATGAATATAGCCTTGCCTCCTTTCCTTGATTACAAAAATATTATAATTATATTAATCACGTGTTACAACACGCCCATAAAGTAAACAAATACATAATCCATTATTTCAAGAAAAGAAAAGTCATGAATATATTTTACTGTTTTTTTTATCGATTATAGATATAAATCTTATAATATATTTAATGACAAAATTTTACCGTTTGTAATGACAAATTATAAATAGCTCTGCTCCGGAGTCCGCGAGTGCAAAGAGTTAATTTTTCCGCCCATATTTAGTCGAACGTTTTTCTTCCATTTGACCAATACTATCTTCCCTTAACACATAACCCTATTTTTTAACACTCTGCATGTTTTTCCCGAAGTAATCTAGAAACTAATACAATATTCTTCGAAACATTCCGACTTCGTCCTTCTTGCGCCCTCAACGCACTTTTTCTGGAAAAGGACGTAACGAGGATGTTCGTCGGGACGCAATTGGCGCCGGATTGGAATTTTGCGAGGTCTTGTTTCGTTTTATATTCTCATATCCTTGACAAATTGTCAATAAACATTTCGAACAGACCATCAGAACTGCTCGTGCTTTGGTCCATAAGTCATTGTTCCAGTAACGTTAGGACCCAGACTTGTGCTTAGATATTGCACCGGCTTTAACGTCACCAAAGCGTATAAAAGGGGGGGACCAGGTTCTAAGAAGCTATTGAACTTACCTCGAATTTGTCTCTACTCAAAGTATTGTATATGGATTACAATAAGGGACACGTGCTTTTATAATCCCAAATGTTACTAAATGCACACAAACAAATAATAGAAGCACGAGAGAAATGGGTCGGAAGTCTATTCAGATTTGATACATGTGCATGTACTTCACATCTGGAACCGATTCAACGATGTACTCTGTCTCCGATTCCTGAAATATCCACTATAACGTTGCTACAACGGCACATTAAAAACCACTAAGAGAACAAAAAAAGAAATAAGAAAGAAAAATGGGGATGTGTCGACAAATGGTGGACTCTAATAACAGAAAACTAGGCAGCCTCTCCTGTCTGCTATTCGCTGGATTAGAAGATATCTGTTTCGATTTTCCCAGAGCTTGCGCGTGAAACCGTTCTCTTTTGTGAAACTCGTTCGTAAAAATCTATGATGTATTCCACTGACACTATTGAAATCCATACGCACGATGTCCTTTTTTAAGTTTTTCAAAAATACCTCCGTTTTTGAGAAAATTCAATTTAAACATATTCGATCGATACGCATGGAGCACCTCGATTGCTTACAAAGGAACTCCGATACTGAAATATTTGTAACTTGACCTACATCGGTTCTTGATCCGCTTCAGATACAATTGGACAATTCGAATTATTTAACAAATTTTCTTATTCGCAAGAACAGTAAAAAATATTCATTATTTGCTATTCTTTATTCTTTTGTAAAAACGGGTCTGGAAGATCTAAGTGTGCTTGCATGTATGTCGGGTGTGCATAATACCTTTGACATTTTCAAATTGTCAAATCATAAAAAATTCATAAAGAGGAAACAAGAATTGCTATATTGCATTACTACAGTCTACAGAGAAAAATGTTCATAACGTGTCAACCGAATATAGCAACGTGCTTGTAAACGATAAAATTTATTTTTTGGAATCAACGTAATCGATTTCACTTTATCCTCTGCGTTCTGTAACTTCAACGTTAATATTAATACGTTATTTCATAGAATATGAAGCCACTATTTTTATTATAATTACAATTCTTCATTGTTAACATTTCAGTACTACATATTAGTCATATTTACATTTCAGCAGTTATCTAGCGAATTTGGGGTAAAAATTCATTATATTATTACCAATTGTATCTTTTTACGTTTCACACCAGTTAAAAATCAGTTTTTGGCCATTAATTTATTTCAAGTGTTAGATACAAACCTAAATTGTACAAGACATTTGAAAATTTCAACAAATGCATACACCAAAAAATTATATAACGCTGTAAATTTAGAATGCATGAATGTAACTCACAAAATATTTCTTATATGGGGTGAAGAATTTTTGCTTTTAATTAGACTACAGAAAAACATTAAGCATTCATTTGAAAAACTTTTCATTTAATATATTTTCAAAAATATATAAAAATAATGAAGAAGGATAAATTAATCTTTAGGAGGGTTATATCATGTAAAATTAAAAAAAATTATTTTAGAGTTTTAGTAATGTTCCATACAAATTTTCAATATTTGAAGAACATTGGAATCTCTCTTATTAACGAATTTTATTATTCTTTATTTGTAGTTCCATTAATGCTGAGAAATAATGATTCTCTCATTATAATTATCAATTTTAGACAATATAATAATTAAAAACTCATTTCATTAACACACATCAGGTAATTTTGTGCCGTCGTCATGCATATTCATTCTGAGTAGTAACAGTGAGCAATAGGCAGATACACTGACCGTCCTCAACGGACTTTCAAATTTAATTTTCTTGTAAATGAGTTCCACAGAAAGCATGTCCATTCACATTATCGTCAGAAAATGAAACTTTCTTTAATATTTAAGTATTTAATTTTGTTCAAAGTGCCAAATGTGGCATGGACTTGATAGACATGTATATAAGAACAGAAAAATATTTTCAAAAGTTTGATTAAATATTCTAAAAAATATTCTGCGGTACGGCAGGATTGTTGGGGAAAAAATTCATCGTCCAAAATATATCTGATTCAATCTGTATTACTTATAACGAGAATACAAATTTTTTAAATATTTTACTTTCACACTAAAGTAAAGGTGACTTCAAACATCGTTAATAGAATCATAAAATTTGTTTTATTGTATAGTGCGGAATTAACAGAGTTCCAAAAATTTTTAAATTTTTATTATCGTTATACACAGTGCACTTGATAAAGATTAATTTTTGTCCACAACTGTTTTGCAACTGTACCAAGGGTAATATATTTTTATCTCTCAGATATTCTTGTTACTTTATAACAATGTTTTAAAAACGTAATACTTTCTGAATTAGCTACGATGGTCTATCCTCTTTTAGTTTGCTCATAATTAAGGTGTAAGAAGATAGCATAGTGTTAGATTATTCAGGTTACAGCAATATGTATTATAATCTCCAAAACGTTAATGAGTATAATTTAAAATAAAATCAGCTGACAATTGCATTTTATCATTCTACTATTTCTAATATCTACAGGTGTTATCCTAATTCGACTGAATATTTTTGTCGGACAAAAAGAAATTCTTTTCATTGCTTAATACAATTAGTATTAAAAACAAGAATTAATACAATTTTGTTCATCTTCCACATCTTTAAACTAATTAATATTTCCACTTGCGTTGTTTTACTTTAACGCTATATATTTCGTATAAATTTCATTATCACGAAATTCGATTAACTCATATTAAAGATAACATTCACGATGAATATAATTAATTAACATGGGCACGATGGAACGAGCTACCGGGTTTATAATTTTACTTTCAGCTTATCAGGATCCATCCAAAGATCGATTCATTCATTTAGAACTGTCTTGTTTCAACTTGTTGGGGGTAACGTACATTCATTAAGTTAATACCTTTGAGGAATTTAATTGCACTGCTGGAAACTCATACTCCAATAGGTTCGATTGATGAATGCTGCAAATGCTTCGTATGTAGGATCAGTTGTAACTCGAATATTTCGAAAACAGTATTGCATTAATGAAAAATAAATAGATAAATTGCTATAATGCCGTTATTTTCTACATTTCACATCTTAATGGTTGTTCTCGAAATTAGTTTTTGTATTATCGATTCATTCTACAAACAAATCAATTTTAGATACATCGAAATTGTGAAATGAAACTTATTTATTAATAACACCGCTTAAGAAGAACAGCAGAAAAGTTCGTCAACATTATTCTCCCCGTAAAAGTGAAGGAAAATTCAGAAAGAAACTTTTTCCTTGGGTGCCATTGTTTTCAAGAAAGTCGATTATGAATAATCGTCGAGCATTAATTCGCTCAGGTTTCGCTTCTCACCATTACCGATAATTCTACGCTTGCTATCGCTTAAAAATACACTGACACTGAATTATTTATTTTTTCTATTATTTAGTCGCAAATATTTAAGTTGGAAGAAATTAAGATCGATGAAATACAGATGAGCAGATGCAACAGAAAGCACGCGTGTTCGATGAATTTTTAAACTGTTTTCTTCTTCACTTAACATTCTCAACATCTCCTTTCCATTCTTATTTTCTTCCTTTTTATTCAATATCTTCAACATCTTTTTTTCATAAATAAGTAGTTAGATTTATTGTAGCCCGATACTTTCAAATTCTCCAAAGTCAATTCTGAAATGTTTAAACTCATTCTACGGATTAATCTATTGCTCCTTAATTCCTTATTGTCGTTTCCTCTCTGTCATATATCAAATGGAATACCTCTGTTCATATTAATAAATAAAATGCATCAACCGCCGACTTCTGTCTACCGCTATCGATTTATTTGTACTATCACGTAAAGCGGTTTCTTTAAACGCCGAAAACCGATTAAACGTTAAACGTGACTACCACCATTCCCAGAGCGGTCAGCGGGGATTCTTAAATATGTCTCAATGCCCGCTATCAATTTCGACAGGCCTGACAAATCGGTATCAGCTGACAGTTGTATCTCGCTTACCTTTATCCTGAAGGAGCATTGGTCACGGGTGTGCCATCAAAACCGCTTAACATCCGACGCACCACATTTACCCCGGCCGAAAAGCTAGCGGCTCGTTAATATATTATTTAAACGAGAATTAACAATCACACCGTCCGACTGCCACGATTCGGGGATCCCGAGTGAGCGACTAGCAACGACCGGTGTTCAAACCAGCCGTTCGTACCGCGTGACGCCCCGACAGTCACTCATCGTGTCGTGTTCCCTGTACTGTTTCGACCGTGTCGATTTTCCAACGAATGGACTGTTCTATCAGGTGCACATATTCCTTGTCATTTTTAAGATCTAGTCCCGGCAAGATATCCAGACGTGAACGCGTTTCGGGACTGGCACCAACTGAACTCCTGCCAACTGGCAACCCGTAGGACGATCGCACATACCATTGGCTCCTGCGCCCGGCTGTTTAGCGACGTTGCTGCTCCGATACGGAAAATAAACTCTTTACCTTCTGTCGGTATAGCAGAAAATAATGCAATTAAATTGCATTCATATCGCCGTCAGGATAAACACAAACGTTTCGTCAACGCGATTTTTCTGTTTCAAAGTTTGATAAGTTCTTACGACAATAATATCATTTCTGTGTTACGTTTAATGTTATCAGTAATTCTTGAAGTTGAACTTATTAATAAAAATAAAGTGGCTTATGTACTTTATTCGTAGTACGTGGAGATTTCACGTGACAATGGAAATAAGTGACACTTGATAAAGCAGCATCCCCAATAGACGAATATCGATGCATAATGGAAAGAAAATTTTAGAAGAGCTAAATGTTTAGGAAAAACATTTTAATATTCCAAACGTATAATAGATAGCAATGAAACGAAACACGTTAATTTTGACTTTTTTTTTCATTTTGGACTTATTTGGGCGAATAAGTTTGACGTTAATACTCGGATCTATGTTCCTAGAATTACCTTGCAGAAAATCATGAAAGTATTTTTTCACAGCTTTTTAAGACATTATTTCGAAACTGAGAACATAGAATTATATAAAAAATTAAGGAAATTTATTATTGTTATATCAAAATTACCTATCAGTTTTAGAAGTACAATGTTATACTCAATTTGTATTTGTTCAAATTACATTTGAAAACAGTGCATTGAATTCTACAATAAAATTTACATTTCAATTTTAAGAATAAATTCATACATTCGATACAATTCATACAATAATACGATAAGGTATATTCCCTACGAATACATCTTGATTCATGAATTTTTTAGATTTCGCAAAACACCCTACAATGCGCGTACATATTTAATTGTTATGAATAGTGTTCACGATATTTATAATTTTGTATTACATCTACTATGTTCCATATCACGAAGGATATTAATATATATATAGTCGTTAAATACGTACATGATACATTGCTATTCTGACTTTTTAAAAGTGCCCTTACAGGTATATCAATTGAGTAACTGTTTTTTAATATTCTATAAAATGTTAATGATTAAAATTTAAATTTAATGTATATGTTCATATTGTGAGAATGGATGTATTTGAGTGTGAGAATAGATATATTGGTGAATAATTATTGTATGTTCAATACATGAATAACGCGACTGTGTATGTGTGAGCGCGTTTTGAATGAATGTTCTAAGCATTGGAATATTCTAGACTAAATTGATTTTCTCTATATTGATTTTTATGTTAATAATATTTTTTATGAATCCAGAATATTCCAAATATACGTGAAGTTAATGCATGGTAATGAAAGAATGTTCTAGAAAGTGTGTGAGTGAGACAAGTGCATCTGAGTGTATAAATAGTGTGTGCGTTGTTTGATTTGTGGATTGTTTTATTGTGAGTTGTCATGAAATAATTATACTGTTTCAAATAAAATTCTCTTTCGCCTACAATATGCTACATTTCCACAATGTTTTCTGTAAAGCATGCTGATTTAAAGTTCTGATGTGGTCATCATTTTTTAATTAATTTATATTAATAAATACTTATAGAATTTCAAATTACAAAATATGCTATTAGATTTTCGCTTGAAACGTAATATTGTTAAAAAACGTTTTACAAAGGGTTACTTTCTCTGTACAGAAGAAGTATCATTTTTCGAAGAACTTACATTTACCATAATTATACGCATATACCAGTTTTAACCTATCAAATTGTTGCGCAGTAGAAAGCTCTGTGAATATGAAGCTAATGCAAGAGAAAGGGTATCTTATTTTTTATTGTACTTACACGAAACTTTTCCTGATACTATGGTGAAATTTTACTGTGTTACGTCTTGAGTGATGAGGGAGGAAAGAGCTCAAAAGCTTTTACGAATAACAGCAGCTACTACTTTCCTGTGAGAAGAATTTATTGTTGGAAAAATTTGTTAACTCACACTTATCTAGAAAAGAAAAAGGTTATATAAATGTAGGTGTAATCGATACTTACAATGGAGATGATACTGACAAAGTATCGATCAATGCACAAAGATCACATCTTAATGGAGAATTGAGATAAACATAATAATTCTCAATTAAAATATGGAAATATAATATATATATATATAATAATAATAATAATAATGAACAAAGATTATTCTTTGAAATAAAGACCATTTGATTTTGTGGTCAGTGTATGTTCATGTTCGTTTCAACATCGATCAATGTTACGAAATTTCGTCCATGTGATAAATCTGCCATACCATTGATCCTTTCTAACCGCTTCTGTCCTGTGCGAATCGAAACAATACGTTTACCTTCAACTTCGCAAATCTTTCTCCTCGTACATATCTCTTTGAAGTTCTATTTCCAGTAATATCGTAAAAGTATACGAATTTTCGAATTTCTTTCGATTTTTCATAGCAAATGAATTTTCTAACTTCCATACAGCTAATTACTCTTACTCAAAATAATGATATGCAAAATAATATTAATATGAAAATACTATAATAACATGTAAAAAAGAAGCATGAACCTACGATTCATCCTAATATCAGATTCTGTATAATTCGCAATCAAAATTTATTTCTAAATAACGATAACCTCAAATGGAACGAAAAAGATTTAAAAAATAGCTGGAAAATTTCACCAGAATATGTATTTGCTAAAATTCTGGCTTGCGATTCGTGGCCAAATAAAATAGCAGTAAAAGTTAATAACATGGTAAAGGCTGGTGGAGATTATGTTATACAGTATCCCTTTTGTCCTTTCCATATAATGTTCGTTACAAATCTGCCGGACTACTGTCCTCAACACTTGCAGGACTTCATCAGAAGATAGCCAACGGATTTTTCTTTTATGTAAAAGTTGCAGCTACCCTCATTAGGATTATCTATACTTATCCAGAGTAAAAATCTTCGTAGATCTTTATATTCTAATCTGTTTATTCTTCCCTAACGCGCAGATGATATCAAAGGATTAATATGAAATAGAGCAATCCTATTTCTAAGCGATGCATAGCATAATTTGTTAGTAGACCCAAAGGGCTACCAATATGCAAAGTTTCAAAAACTTCATAAATAATTTGTAACGAATTATTACAACGTATATTGAAAGTTTGTCAAAACCACATGATATCAGAAATTAATGAAGTATCGTACGCAGTAGTTACGGTCGACGATACCACAGACCTTTTTCAGCATGTATAGACAGTGATTGTTTTCCGATATGAACTACGTGCTTAAATTTATCAACTATGTTAGGGATTTTTTGATGAAACGAATATTTTCGTAAATAAACTTTATTTAATTGTTCTAACTGAATGATTATTTAATAAATTATATCAAGAGAAATAAATGTTTTGAAACAGATAAATTTTATTTTAACCTATTCAGAGTTAATATTATATATCGTTGTTAGCAACACTTAATTTCCCAAATATAAAAAGGAACATATTATGAAATGAAGGGAGAATAAATTAATGTCAAATGTACATATTTCAATATTAGACAAAAATCTCTAATAGTTAGACACCATTTTATACATAGCGATATACCGTTGTCGGTACATTTCACTAAAAATAACTTCTTTCTACTGACAATGATATATTCAATATGTTCAGTACTATAAGGATAAATGTAAGAAAAAAGTAAGAAAGAAGGTTTTCTTGGAGGTTTTCATGTTTTTCGAGAACTAGAGGTAACCCAGCAATTTGAATTTCGGATTCGTATTTAGGGCAAAAAACTCTATAAGGATCACCTAGTAGCTATTATAAAACTAAAATCGCGTTGAACAGTGTAATGGTGAAAAGTTTTTAATTTTTTTAACGGAGCCTTCCGCAATATTAAATAACTTAAATCGTCCCAATATAATACAAGAAATAGTTGAAATATAACTTTGAACCATTATCAGAACTCCACCACGACGATTTCCCGGCTTGGACAAGAAAATCCCTGGTCCGATATAAAAATATCACACATGTTGTTAATACTTGATTTCTCCGTCACAGTTCTAGGCTTCGGTCCAAAAAATATTTGTTTCTTTTAGTCCTTCGATTCTGCGTATCAATGGGAGGGTTGATAGTTACAACTCAGAAAATCTTAAAATACGTGCTTTACATAATCTTGAAGTCCAGGGAAAAAGTGTTTGTACGGAATCAATGATAGACTCAAAGTGCCAATATGCATAGTTTCAGGAAAATCGATCTCGGATAATTTTACAAAAGATTATCAAGCATTTTTCATAAAAGAATTTGCCTTTCTGAACACAATGATATAGGCTACTCGTAAGGTCGTAACATTATAAACATTTAAACGTATTTACGCAATGCTCAAAAAAGAAACAGCAACCAAAATGCACCAACTTTAGGGATACTTTGTAACCCCTTGCCTTATAATTTCTTTCTCAATTCTGATTTATACAACCACTTTGTTATTTATAATTGGAAAGAGAGAAAAATTGTAGGCATATTCTATATCTATGTTTGCTCTTAAGTATAATAATCGATTACAAGAGAGTAATATTTACCTTGAATTCGAATGAATCGAGTAATATTTATGTTTGTTAAATCATGTTGAAAATCTTCACCACGTGTCTGACACGTTGTTATAAACCAAGGGGTAGGGTGTATATAAGATAAGGACGGTAAAAGTACCTCTAAACTGAATGGATTCGTACACATACCATTTCTTAGACCTCTCAAAGAAAATCCTTTTATTAAGGTTCAAACTGCCACTCCCCTATTAAGGCAGTGACAGGATGAAAAACAATTTCTGGTGTAGCATCAATCTTTTTTGTTTGGGATGCCAAAAAATGAAGAAAAAATTAGTTATTCTATATATGAAGATACATACCTATGAAATTCTTCAAAATTTTCGATTACAATTCGATTTTTAAAAAATTCAAAAAGTTTATAAATGCTGATTTTTTATT